CCACACTCCCCAATATTCCATTTATTGAGCTTAATTTATTATTACATGTTTGTTGTGATTTTATCTCTGACAATTATGTTTTTCATAATTGACACAATCATGTATAGAATGATACGGGCCTTTATATATAATACATGCTTTCATAAAAATCAATTCTACAAAGTCACACAGGTCAATGTTTGAATGCACCTCTCTTATTTTTAAATTTAGTTTCATTTTTTGCACATAAGGAAATGAGTGTTCAGAGATATAAAATGATCTGTCAAATACAGTTATAAAGCTAGCTGGTGGCCCCACCAAATCAAATTAAAACTGCTAGTGTTCCATAAAATAAAGAAAGGGGGTGTAAACACGATCATACATTTGGTTAAGGCAGGTGTATATATTTTTTCTATGTCTACAGAGAGCATGCAATACTATCATTTACGTTTTATTATTAGAAAAAAAAAATCTGGCTTCCCCCGACTTAGACTTACTTTACAAGAAATGAACTCATTTAATTTCACTGAGTTCTTGGGAAGAATTTGGAGGTCATATTAACTATTTCATTATAAATACAGATTTTTTTTTTTATAAAGAACTGAAGTGATAGGGATCAAGACTATTCACCAAAATTGGTGACTAAAACTATACACCCCTTCTGATGGGGCCACATCGGTCCACTGGACAACACTGTGTTTATAAACACAGTCTGGTATAAAGAAATTTTTAGATTAATAAAAAAAGGGAACAATTTCCAAAATAGATCTCTATTTTCTTCAGAAACAATTCAGAAGAACACAGATATACCAACAAGCAAAAGAAGATAAAAAAAAAAAAAAAGCAAAGAGAAAAATCTAAAAAACATTCTATTCAAATTACCTTGTTTCTTTCTACCACAGGACAACATAAAATACTAGAGAGCCCACCCCCCAAAAAGCGTATGATTCTTTTTTCATCTTTATGTGACTGAAACAACCATTTTTTTCCCTCTTAGATACATTTTAAATTTCTGTAGAGAGAAGAGAAATATAAAAGATGAGAACCACCACTGAAGTCCCCACACTGTCCCCAGGGGGAAGTTCAAGTAGTTTGCAAATCTCTCCTTAGAGAAGTGTTGAACTGTTATATGGTTAATACATTTGGAATACCTTGTTTGAAATTGAGAGACAAAAACTGATTTGCTGTAAAATCGTCTACTCTAACTCCCAAGAAGACAAAAGTGGATTAGGTGACTAGAGAGACCACTTGGAAACTTGCACACTTGTGGTGTCTCTGAGTCATGTCTTGTATTCAGGATAATGCTAGTTTTGAATGGTGTGGCTTATGCTCCAGCAACATTTTGCTCTAGACAGATGGACCATATGGAAACTATGATAAGTCAATGCAACAATTTTATGTTGTCTGTTCCTATTCAAGTGATCTAGCGAACAGTATATTATCATGAGACATAAGTATTATATGTCTTTGCTTAAATACTGAGTAGTGACTATTTTTAATGCCAGAGATATTTTTAATAGAGGCATTTTAAAGCAAAAGGAGTCCTGGTGTGGTGCTATAGGATGAGCACTGGACCACAAGGACAGTTTGAACTACAAGGTTAGTTGTTCAAACTCAGCAGCTGCTTCTCGGAAACCCAATATGATGATTATGAGTAGGAACCAACTCGATGGCCCTTAACAACAACAACAACAACAAAAACAAAACACATGTATCTCTTTCACTTAACAAAAAATGCTTGAAATGTTTTTGATGTTAAATACAGTTGCACTGTGGAACAGAACATTATCTTACAGCTTAACTCATGAGCATTGGACTGCTAACCAAAAGTTTGCTAGTTCAAACTCATCAGCTGCTCCTCAGAAACTCTCCACAGGGTTGAGACAGAACCGACTTAACAGAACTGTTACAAAATTCTTCCCTCGAGGTACTAGTTTGCCTTGATACATCAACAAAATCATGGTCCAAAAGGAGGAAACGATTCTCAGCCCCAAACTGTCAAAACGGTTCTTTCTTAAAAGAATTAGGAAGCAGCTTTAACACTTTGAATTACAAAATACAAAAAAACATGATGATGTCAATTTGAGGAGAGCTAGAAGGCAAGCATGACCCACTAGACAATTAACTTGGGGAATGCAGAGTGTCCCTTCATAGTTTACTACTTTTATAACTATTGCAGGGACAACAAGCATTTTATGTGAAGATTAACAATAATATAGCAAGTATTTTTTTCTGAATTAGGCTTAAAATTTAATGAAAACCTGCATGGATGAAGACAACTTACAGTTGTTGGCAAAATACCAAAATGGAACAAATGAACAGCACTTATGCAACTGCATGTTTTGTATGAGACGTGGGAGGGCTACCACAGAATAGCTGGAATTAATATGTGGAAAATAACTGTACTAGTTCCTTAGAGGTATTCAGACACTATCATATATACTCACTCAGCTTGTAAATCTTTGCAAAGGTTATGATGAAAAATGATCATGTTTCATTTTTATAATTAAAATATAGTGGTCTCATATGAAAAAGTAAAAATATAAGATATATACAGGAGTACAATTGATTAAAAAGGAGAAAAATTTAAGGTATTATAACTTGTTTTTTCAGGGAGATTTATTAAACCACAATTCCTTTGTATGCTTATGGTTTGGAGAGAATAAAAAAAAATTTCCCATATAACAAATGAGTCTCATATTTTATAGATCATAAAATATCTATGATTCTGGTATGCTCTATTGTGATCAGAGAAAATCTTATAGGAAACTATGCAACTTTGTTCATCTCAAGGCAGTATATGTTATGACTTTGGGAATACCACATTTTTGCTGTCTTCACAAGTCAACAGGATCAAAGTCTCACTTAGAGAATCTTTAGGTATATTGATGATCACAAAGTAAATCTCTTAAGATTAAATTTCAATCAAAAAGCATAAATGATGGTTCATATCTGAAAACTGATTTTTTTTCCTAAATGCTTTTTTATTTTATCCTGCTTAAAATATTTCAAAAGACTTTTACTTGTAATTTTTGGGCAGCTTCCTGGTGTGGTGCAGTAGGTTAATACTCCAGACTGCAAAGCTGTTTGAACTGCAAGGTAGGAGGTTCAAGTTCACCTGCTGCTCCTCAGAAACCTGATACAGGCTCGCTCTGGGTTGGTTCTGACTCATAGTGACCCTGCATAGGGTGTCCAAGGCTATAAATCTTTACAGGAGCAGAAAGCCTCATGTTTTTCCTGTGGCATAGCTGGTAGTTTCAAACTGCTGACTTGAAGGCTAGCAGCCTGACTCATAAGTCAATTCATACTATGGTACCTCCATGTGTTTCAGAAGAGAACTGTGCTTCATAAGGTTTTCAATGGCTTGGAAACTAGGATTTTTTTCAGAAGTACATTGAGTTCACCAGAGATAACCTCAGAAGAGCCTTTCTTCTAAGGTATCTCTGGTGAATTCAAACCTCCTAACTTGCATTAGTACCCACGTGCTTAACATTTTGCCCCACTGAGGATTTCCTAAAACTAGTCAGAAAACAACAAAAAGTTGTCATCTCTTAGCATGGCTTCAATTCTATTAAAAAGATTTTTGAGGGCAAGAAAGTTGGGGAAGTACTTGTACACAGTCACAAGACCCTACAACACATACTGTGGAAAAGCTATGTCTAATCCAGCACAAGGGACAGTTAAATATTACCCGCAAAATGGCATTTTTGTCTGGTTTTATGGATTTTAACCATACTTAAGACTTTCTGAGAACTGGATACATAAATACACACATTTGAACCCAATTTTTATGATAGAAAAGAAAATGGCCTGTTAACTACTTGTGTCTTTGTTTCCATTCTGTTCATTAATCTTTTTTATTACTCATTCACCTCTCAAAGAGACTTGTTCTTTATCAATACTTAATATTGATAAATGTTAATATAATGTTGTAGAACAGGAGACAATTTTTACAACAGCATGGTTATTCTTCCTTTCAAATTAGCATCGCTATTTTAGAAGAATGTACCCATTGCCCATTTCTAATTGTGAACTGTCTGAAAAAATTGTTAGATGTTCTACAACATCTTTAAAAGACTGCCTTTCAAAGATCTAGTTTTGGGGACACAACTATTGGTCAACAAGAAAATAAATCATTTTTATGACATATCAAACATCTTTTATCTACATCAAATTATATGAGTCTGCATACCACATATAGATTCAATATCAATAGTAGATTTAAAGGTGGATATTGTTGCTAAGTGCCATTGATTCTTAGCAACATAATTACATACTTTTTGCCATAAGGTTTAAACATTTAATGCACTGATAATATCACTGTCTTACTCTGTCTGTTGAAAGAGAGTACACTCTCAGTGGTGCATCCACTGCTTTGGGCCATGGGCAAGAATGTCATCCTAGCTATATCTGTACATGACTGCAATGCATGAAAGAACACCCTGCTTTCTATACAAATGAAGTGCATTTGTCAACACACGCATTTCACTGTTTATGCACTAGTGAGATTAACTGAAATTACATTTTTAAAAACAGTCATGAAATTATAAAATAATCCCAAATGGAACAGCTGTGTCAAGAATCTTCTGCTCTTCTGTTTCTTTCCGTTGTCCTACTCATTCCGTAGGTAGTTACTGGGGTAAGAAAGGAACATTATCTTACAGCTTAATTCATACATTGGATTCAGAACTAGGTATCAAATATTATATTTCTATGATATTTGCATGTATCTTCTGGGTAACAATCAGGAAAACAGCATTGCAAATATGAAGACAAAACCCCAAATTAAAAAAAAAACACAAACCAACAGTGAAAAAAACAGAAAACAATTCTTCATATCACAGAGGAGATGACAAATGGCGTGAACTTCCAAAACACTCTACAAATAAAACAGTATTATTCAACAGGATGGACTAATGACTAATGAAATAGGAAAAAAGAAGCAACAAGACATCAGGAGAGACAGACTCATATGAAAGAAGCAGTTCTGGACCCAGCCATGGAAAGATTGTTTTTCTTACTTGCACAAGTATCTTGAGGGGTTTGAAAGGTCTTTCACCATGAAGCATTCGCCTCCATTCACACAGAAAGTTTTCTCCTTCTCTGCGCATTTTACAAGATGGCTTGTCCCAGCTGTAGATGTAGATGTAGCTGGATAGGAGAAAAAGAAGGGGAAAGGTTTACATCTATTATTACCTCTTCTAAGTCATCTTCGGTTTTAAATTCTCCTAAAAGAAAGAGTTCAGATGAGGCCTAGTGGTCTTCACTAGACTTTCAGGTTTAATTAGCAACAGCAAAGAAGTACCTTTCAGATGTAATTAGAAAGTAAGATTATAAAAGGGTTAATTACAGATGCAACTAGTTAAATTTATTACCTTATTCATAATTAAGTAGGAAAGGGGACTCCACATTTTTATAACCAATATATTACCATGATGGAATTGGAAAAGAGAAGATCTATTATCATTAAGTAAGATATATTTTCCAGGAACATTCAAAGGAAATTATTCAAAGTCATATCAATGTAGGTTAATTTATATATCAAGTTTTAAAGGAGAACTAACTGATAAAATTTATTCATTTTAGAAGTTGTGTTTTGAATGTATACTGTATTTACACTTTTTAGACATACTGTATAGCAAAGAAAAACATGAGGCAGTTCATTTGTTCTTAGGAGCCCTGGTGGCACTGCAGGTTAGGTGTTGTGTTGCTTACCACAAGGTCAACAGTTCAAACTCACCAGCCACTTCATGGGGGAAAATGAGACTATTTGTTCCTATGAAGATTTATAGTCTCAGAAACTCCGTACAGGTTCACTGTGAATCAGAATTGACTCAGTGGCAGTGGGTTCAGTGGGTTTTAGTTTTACTTATTCATAATGAACTTTTTTTTGTTTTTTAATTTAATGTACATTAGCAAACTTCAGAAGGCATTCTATTCAAAATTTCTACACTCACTACAGAAGACCATTGGTGCCTGATTAACATGATAATTTTATGAAATGACAGTCTGATGTCCTTGTAAATCTAAAAGAGGTACTACAAAATTACCCATTTAAAGTTAACAGTAGATGCAAATCCTAATTTGCATTTACAACTTCTTTCATACAGTAATCTTCATATTCACTTGTCAGTCCTCACAGTTATGTGGAAGTAAAACTGAAAATGGTGCTTCTTAAGTTGGCAAAAGATTACATGAAGTCTCTCCAGTATGGATGCTGTAAGGGTTTTCAGCAGCAACAAAACACACAGTGGTCAGTTTCAAAAGAATGTCTAATTAAAAAATGGTTTATCACTCTATCAGGATGAAATGCAAAATGAATATATCAGCATAGTGGAGAGTCTCTCTACTTTCTAGAAAAAACACACAAAAAGACTTCAGACAAATTAAAATATTTTTTTTCCTATTTTAACTCTCATTCTTTTAGATTTTTATGAGTTTGTTCTTTATCCTTTTGTGTGTGTATACTTCAGATGCCACTGTTAACTTTCATTGCACTTGTCATGCATTATTTTTCCATTTTCTCTTTCTTTTTCATTTCCTGTAAAGTCTACATTGTGTTGTGACTTTTAACACAATTTCTTCTACTCTACTTTGATTTTTATTTTGCCTGATCTGAATAACCAACCTCTGATTATTCAGTTTCTGAATTACCCAAGACTATTCTTGCCTCTTATTTTCCAGTCTAAGGATTGTTTTGGACCATTTCACTGCCATAGAGTTATTGTTAGGTGCCATAGAGTTGATACCGAATGGAGTACCCTATGTACAACAGAACGAAACACTGCCCGGTCCTGCACCAACCTCACAATCCTGACACACTGCCACTGTGTCAATCCATCTCACTAGGGGTTCTTCCTTTTTCTCGGATCCTCCACTTTACCAAGTCCTTCTCCAGGAAGTGGCCCCTCCTGATAATATGTTCGATAATATGAGACAGGAAGTCTGGCCATCCTGACTTGGAAGGAGCATTCTGGCTGTACTTCTTCCAACACTGATTTGTCTGTCTTCTGGCAGTCCATGGTACTTTAAATATTCTCCTCTAACAGCATAACTCAAATGCATCAACTTTTCTATGGTCTTACTCACTGTTCAACTTCCATACACATCTGAGGCTATTGAAAATACCGTTACTTGGGTCGTGTGTACCTTAATTCTCAAACTGACATCTTAATTTTTAAACACTGTAAAGAGGTCTTGTGCAGCAGATTTGCCTCATGCAATACATCATTTGATAACTTGACTGCAGCTTATATGAGAGAGGATGGTAGATCTGACCAAAATAAAGTCTTTGACAACTTCAATCTATTCTCCATTTATCTTGATGTCATATATTGGTCCTGTGGTAAGGATTTTTGTTTTCTTTACATTAGCATGGTTTTTAGTAGTAACGGCAAACAATAGTCAAAGGACTTGGACTCTGGAGACTGATCTTGGTTCAAATCCCATCTCCCACTGGCTTCATGTTCTTGAATGAATCACTTAACCACCCACATGATCAATTTTCCCATTTGTAAAATAGGTTAATGGACTTCTTCCATGATTTTTTTAGGGATTATAAAAAATGTAGGCAAATGAATTGGCACAAGCTGGCACTCAATGAATAATAGCACTTATTATTACTGAGCAAGTAGGGAAGGATCTTAATGTTGGTATTTATCAATCAGATAAAAGGCTTGACAAGAAAACCAGGGGATTTCAAAGATGCAAGCTATTCATGAATCACTACTATAATTGCTACTAAGAAGTGGGTCTTTTTTCTTTTTTTATTACTCTAACAAAGAGTCCTTTTCAAAATGTATTTCAAAGCATCCTTCACTAGTCTCCAAACCAAACAAACGAAGCCAAAGGAACAAGGAAGAATGAGAAGAGAGTTGCTTTTACCCTCTATTTCCAGTTACGTTTTTTATTAGGAATTGGGGAATGTAACTTGCATTGTTTGGGCTGTAAAGTCATAGAGGAGAATACATTTCCATAACTCACCTAGCATATAAATTTGACATATTATACCCCTATATGCAAAACTAGTCATTTAGGTGCGATAGATGAATAGTTTCATCTATAGAGATTGCTTTTTAAAAAATATTAGGGGGGACTTTGTCTTAAATGTTAAAAGGTTTTATATTTAAGCCCCTGAACTGTTGACAGGGTTCTTTGGGATGAAAAATTGGGCAGGGTATGCTTGTTGCCCCTAGTGACAGTGCTGAATGGACCACCTGCAGCGAGCTGTCACCATTCACTCCTGCCCAGGAAGTCCTAAGCCTAAAGCAGACCCTAGTGATTTGTGTATCCTGGACAGGTTGCTAAGGGTTTTCTCTTATGCAAGCTGAGCAGCAAAAACGGTATGAGGCTCTTTCAGAAGAAATCTTGAGACTTTTACTGAAAACAAAAAACCTCCAGACACTCTGTGTAAATTGTAAACTAACAATAAAGGTAAATAAACAAACAAATGCCAAACCCACTGTTTTTGAGTTGATTCCAACTCATAGAGGTCTATGGCCAGAGTAGAACAGCCTCATAGGGTTTCCAAGGTTGCAGATCTTTGTGTTAACACCAGATTGCTTTAACGACTGTGCCAGGAGGGTCCCTTGCAATAATGGTTGTTGTAATGGTTAGGTGCTATCAAGTTGGTTCCAACTCATAGCAACCCTATGTACAACAGAATGAAACATTGTCCAGTCTTGAGCCATGAAACAGTTCTCAAAATTGTTACATGTGAGCCCATTGTTGTAGCCACTGTGCATCTCACTGGGGATGGTTATATATATCATACTTATTCACCAGACTTTGTGATCTTTGAGATTATCAAACTAAGTAAAATCCCTGATTATATGCTAAAACTTGAAATCATTCTATTTCAGTCCTTTAAAATATTTCTCTCTGATATGATTATCTGTTTAATGCTATTCTGTAGCACCTAGTTATGATACATTCATTAAAAAAAAATTCTTAGAGCACCACTTGAAACTAGCAATGGGATATCTGATTATGAATCAATAATCTTGGAAGAAATGAAGCAGCAACTATCTCATACAGTCATAGGCCTTATGTTTCTCACTTTTGTCTTTTAGTAGCAGCAAGATCAAAAATGATCATGGAATTACAGAGCAGCAATTAACTCCCTGTTGATGCAAAGTGTGAATGGACTGGGTACAGTTGCTCTGAACCAACAGCTAAACACATGAATAAGTTATAATTGTCAGCAGCACCTGGGATGGAGATGGTGATAGATAGGCCCTTCAGGTTTTTACTAGGTTTCCTGTGATTCTCTTTAATTGAACAGTGAGCCATTATAAGCAGACCTATCCATTGTGCAGTGATGCCTTTACTCTTTGGCTTACACATACTATATTGCTAAATCAGTTTCTACTGCGTAATACAGCCAAACAATAAAGAAACAGACACAGCAGGTCCTTAAACCAAACTATGGTTGGAGGCAACATTCTTTCTGGAGGCGCTAGGAGGCATTTATGAAAGGTAAAGGTAGGGTTTAGCAGATAGAATGTTCACCACTTAAGTCAAGTGGTTAATCACTATGCCATCAGAGCTCCTTATAAAAGAGGAACCTCAGTACTTGTTCTAGGTAGCCAGAAAAGTAGGTTTTATTCACTCAGTACTTAATAAACCATCTCTCTCTTACTCTGCTTTGTGACTAGTTTATTACAATTTCAGAGTTGTTGGCCAAAAAGTGCTAAATTAAGACCAATTAGAAACACTGCCAAATATGGCTCCATTATTCTTACGTTTAAGGAACTCTGGTAGCATAGTGGTTGTGAGTTGGGCTGCTAATATTACAGTCAGCAGTTCGAAACTACCAGAGGTTCCGCGAGAGAAAGATGAGGCTTTCTGCTCCTGTATAGATTTACAGCCTCAGAAACCCTATATAGGGTCACTGTGAGTCAGAACTGACTCCACGGCACACAACCACCACCACCATCACAGCCACTCTTATGTTTGTCGTTCATATGAGCACCACACCCGCAAAACACAAGGGATGTTAGTAACTACAATATTATAAGGAAGAAAGTATTAGTAAATCAATAACTTGTTGATGGAGAATGTACTTTGGACTGTCATATAGATTCTCTTTGAACAATAGGTCAAAACTTATGACCATCCTCAGGGAGGTTGCACCATTACATCAACTTAGT